AGCCAGCTCTATAAAAGAGCTGCTGCTGCCCTAATCGTTGCTCTGTTCTGAAGTCACTATTAAAGAGTTGAACTGAGTCACTATCGATGTCTCGTCTCCGTTATTGCGCCCACTCCTCCAAACATAACAAGAACTAAAAGCAATACAAACCTCATTTCCTGCAAGAAACGGTGGTCCCCAGAGAAAGAAACCAGATTCAGGGTCAATTTTGGGGTGGGGGGTGGGGTGGGGTGGTTCTGGCAGGATAGGCCATTTGGAAGAAGGAAGTGGGGGTGGATGGAAAGATCAGAATGGAATATGGAAAATAATATTCCATTTCCCAAATCAGTATTTCTCAACCATGGCAACTTGAAGAAGTGTGGACTTCAACTCCCAGAATTTTCCAGCTATCCATGCTGGCTGGGAAGTTCTGGGATTTGAAATCTGCCCATCTTCATGTTGCCAAGACTGAGAATCACCACCCTCAATCACTACTTCTGAATGGGGGTGCAATTATCACTTAGTAAGATACAGATTTTGCTCCTGCTGCATCAGAGCCGTTCCACCTTTTATAAGCAAACTGTCAGGGTTTCAAGTGGAGAAAGAAAGAAGACTCCGAGGCTAGCATTTCCACTGGGAAAACCCAAATCTGAGAGTTCTGGGTTTTTCCCCACCCAAAAGAAAGTCAAGAATCCATCCCCTGCACCCACAAGTCCATCACATGGTCCAATCATACCTTTGTCCCAACTGGAGATTATCCCCAGTCACTCTCCTCCAGGTGCAGGGCAATCGTCCTTGACTCTCAGGGAAAGGAATGTTGTTGTGGCTAATCTTCCATCGCTCCTTGCAACCCCCCTTCCCACTTTCCCAGGCACTTAATGTGTCAGCCTCGAAACTCCTAAGGAAGAAAAAATGGCTTCCAAGTCTGACACAAACAGCTGCTGCTCAGGTGTGCATGGGAAAAAAATGTTGAAAGTACTATGCCGATTGATGAATGCAGAGTAGAGGAAGTCCCACATTTGTATGCTGACATTGGATCTGTCTTCACAGGAAGTGGAGGAGATGCAATATTTTGGTTTGATAGTGATGAGCGTATTTATCCTTCTCAATAACTGTCCAGTTAGAGCATTAGTTTGTGGAACAATATCACTGCTAGGCTGGAGAGCCACTGCTGATCTGAAACAAGTGATTGAAACAAGCAACTAGCAAAGCCTCCCATTCTTATGGATGACTTTGTGTTAGGCCTGAAAGAATGAATCAGTTTCTATCCTCTCCATGATCATTAGCGAGGCTGTTACTATCAATAGATTTTTTTTGTCAGCACTGATAGTCTCTGACCACTTTATCTTCTGTTGGCCTCTCTCTCTCTCTCTTTTTTTTAATACCTTCAATTGTTCCAGGCCTATGGATTCTTCTGCAATGACTCCCGTCTTGGCATTATGTCTCTGATCTAAAATAAAGTTTAGTTTTTACTTCGTCTAGCACAGAATTGTTCTTCTGGTGCTCCATGGTATTCTCAACAATTTTATCTGGCATAAATAATTCAAGAGCGTCATCATTTCATTGTGTAGTTTTTATTATTGCCTAGCTTTCACACCAATGTGCTACATTGGGAAGAACATCAGTGGTGGGATTCAAACATTTTTTACTACCGGTTCTGTGGGCGTGGCATGTTGGGCATGGTGTGGCAGGGGAAGGATACTGCAAAATCCCATTCCCTCCCCACCCCACTAACCTGCTTTCCAGCTCCATTCTCCTGTGCAGGGCACCAAAAGAAGACCCAGCTGATCAGCTGGGACTCGGGAGGCAGAGAATCGATGGGGGCGGGGCCAGTCAGAGGGGTATTTGCCGGTTCTCCGAGCTACTCAAAATTTCCACTACCAGTTCTCCAGAACTGTTCAGAACCTGCTGAATACCACCTCTGAAGAACATGGCCATTACAATACATAGCTTTAGTATTTTATCCAGGTTTATCATAGCCTTTTTTCTAAGTAGCATATGTTTCTTCAGTTCATGGCTTGTGGATTCTTGAGCCTTTGAATGAGGAAGATAAAGTTTGTGATTAAAGTTTAACTTCTCTCTCTGTATTGTGGGGTCGGCATTTCTTGTAATCTTAGTTGTCCTTCCCTCCCCACTCCAATCTTTTACTAGTGAGAAGCAGGCTGCCTTTTATGAGTGAGAAGCAGAGTTTTGTATTTAGTTTTTTTTCTTCAACAAGAAATTCCTTGATTTTTTTTTTTATGCTTCCCATCAAATACGATCTATGGGAAGCATATATTATTAATGTTTCTTCCAAAATCCTCAATTCCAATTATGATATCTTCTACAGCTTTTCTCAATTTATTCTGCATATGAGTTAAATGATACCATGCAGTTTTGGCATACTCCTTTTTCCAATTATGGGCAGTTTAGTTTCCTTATCATTTATTTTAACTGTTGCTTCCTGATCATTGTACAGATTATATAATAGGCTGATGAAGGGATCAGGTACACCAATCTTTCAAGGTCTATTCACTATATTATGGTCAAAGGCCTTTGTATAATCAGTAAACAAAACCAGACGTCTTTACCTTTTCTATTATCCACTGGAAGTTAGGAATATGGTTTCTAGTCCAACTTATCCTTTTACCTTTTCTTGTCCCATGTATGAATTCTGAACTGCATAATCCTGAAGTTCATGTTACTAACATGTGAGATTAATCCAGTTCAATGGTTTAAGTATTTCTTAAAACATCACTTTTTTAAAGTATTGGAATATAAATTAATCTTTTCCATTCTTTTCCATTCCTGCTTAAGAACCTCACATATCACTTTAACTGCATCATTTTGTACAATTGTAAAAGCTTCTGCTGTATCTCCTACAGCTTTATTGTTACCAATGTTTCCTAGGACTCATTTAATTTTACTTTCCAGCACATCTAGTTTCAACACAGTGGTCAAACCTGTATATATATTATTATTTGAGGGAACTTCCTTTATAGTTCTTTTCTGTACTTGCACCATCTTTTCTTGATATGTTTCTTCTCCAGTATATCTTTATTTTTTAAAAAACAAACTTTATTAATTTTACAATTAAAATAAATAAACAACATGTACACAAATGTAGAAAATAAGAAGAGAAACTGAGTTGAGAAGTAAAAGAGAAGAGAGAAAAAGAAAAAAGAAGTAAAAGTAAAATCAAAAAGTGATTGAAAACAATTTCATCTTCGACAGTTTGTGGGTCATTATTTCTATCCTTATTTTATGCCATATTTACAAGTAATCCTTAATGCGAATATATAATTA